TACATTGTATGTATACTATTACTTCACTATCATAAGCAAAATCTTGAACAATTATTTTACTATAACCTACTACACCATCATTTTGGTAGATCTGCAGTGGCACATGAGCTATTGCCGCGAAATCTGTTGCTGAAGGAGCTTTTTTTATCCGTTGTATCGGCTCTTCTAGTAAAACTGAACTTTTTGGAGTAACAACTTCAATGATACCCATTATGTGAAGCGTGTTATGACCGTCCAGCGTATTTACATTTATATCAGCATTGTCTGCAACATACTGAACGAATGTGCCAGTTTCTGGTGGTAAAATGTGAGGTGGACGGTGAAAAACTGCTGCTGCCTCGTACAATATAGTATCATTATAAGATACGCATAAGCCAAAAGACGATAAAATTTGTATAAGACGTTTTGATCCAAATCGCCGATGAAAAAAAAATAGAGAGACCCAATTGTAATTTTGATTTAAAAGACCTTAGCCCAACAGCAGTCATAATACTATGGCTAATATTTGTGCATACTAATTTCAAATGTTCTAAATTAAATCGCTTTTTTTTCAGAATAACTTTCTCCAAAAAATATGTCACTGATTCTGGAATTTGAGTGTTAATATCTTCAAACACACGACCTGGCGGGGGGTAATGAGAATTATCAAATACTGCAGATTGAATATCTTCTCGAATGATTGCTGCCGCAGCCTTCAGGATTCTAAATCGCTCTTCTTTTTCATTTCTTTTTTTTTTCGTAGCTAGCTCGATTTAAAATACCATAGTGATTATCAACAAAACATATGAATGTTGATGCTCCTGACTTTTCTGTTATAATAATTTTATATTTTGTAATTCGTCTAATGTAAATTGACAATCATCACTATTTTTGATGTGTGAAAATATTTCTTCCATTGCAAGATTAGTAGTTCCAGATTGAGGACGACCGACTTGACCCCCCGTAGTCGGTCTCAAGGAGGCATTATGACAGTGTTTATGATATTTAGCTTAGGCAGCAACTAAATCATGTTCAAACTCAATTCGAGTAATAACAGCTTTTGCTACATTATCAGAACGAGTCTGGGCTATATTCAGGATTGTTTCTTTGAATGAAAGTGTTGATACATGAAAAATTTTACGCCAATACTTCAGTGGTTTTCTGTTTTCTAACTCTTCATTCAATTCATTGCCAAAAATAAGCAACACTTTAAAAAAAAAAATGATCCACTTACGCGTGCTCTAGTACGAGGTGGACTTATTTTTGATGTACCAGCTTGTTCTTCTTCCTGTTTTCTTTTAAATGCAGCGATTGTACCCTTCCGAGTGTAGTTTTTTCGACACTGTCACAGAAGTCTGGTCTTTCAGGTATTCCGAAAATTCACAACCTTTTTCAATACTTGCATCAATTAACGTCTTTAGGCCACGATCAACAGTAACTGTTTCGCTTTCGGCCAAATGTTTATTACAAATAAAGCAAAATTGCGACATTTCTATTACAAACACAAAACTGCAAGAATTTTGTTTGGAAATATAAGCAATAACTACGTGTTCTTACTACGAAGGAATGCTTGAGACTAATACTATTCTATCTAGTTAGGCCCTTGAAAAAGGAGCAGGTATACGAGCGCCGCCACGCGGACAATTGAATACGCCACGAAAACTAATATTTTTACTTATATTATCTTTCTGTAACGTATATAACGGTAATTGACATACATATTATGAAGAATACAAATTTTTCAACATTTTGCATCGCTATATCTCCGAAATGGCGATTCTTCAGAAAAAAAGTGTATGAACAATTTTTATAGATAATTGCATGATGAATAATTTTTGTCTCACCTATTTTTATGATAAAACGTACCGTTTGCAATATTTGACCTTGAATAAATTTTTTTCCACACGGATTGATGTGGATAATTGACAAATTGTGTATAATACGGTCCATAATATCCATGCCAATTTTTAGCAGGGTGCAAATTAATGTAGCCTTACCCCTATTTTTGAAGCTAATTTGACCGGATTATTAGTGGTAGACTAGATATACTATAATTTTTTTTCGGAAAGTAAACAATGAAGAAAGTTGAAAATATTGAAAAATAATTAATAATGATTTTGAAAATATGACAATGTCGTGCATGTAAACAATTGCAAACTTGTACAAATAGTCACGTAGTACGGTGTCCATCATTCGTTGGAATGTAGCAGGTGCCTTTTTGAGTCCAAACGACATACATACATATTTATAATGACCGTTGTCCATGCAAAAAGTAATTTTTTCTATACTGGCTTTGTGGAGAGGGATTTGTAGGAAGTCAGAAGTTACATCTAGAGTAGGGTAATAAGAACATTTTCCTAAGGAATCTAAAATGTCTTCAATTCGGGGTAATGGATATTTATCTTCAATTGTTTTCCTGTTCACTTCGCGAAAGTCAATGACCATGCGCCATTTCTTTTTTCCGGAGGCATCCATCTTTTCTGGAACTATCCAAACAGGGGAAGCATAAGGAGAAATGGAAGGTTTAATCACACCGTCACTGAGCAGTTTGTGACTTGATTTTGAATTTCATCTTTAAGTTTTTGGGGATAACGGAAATTCTTTTGTTAAACGGGAGATTCGTCAGTTGTCCTAATGTGATGCGTTACCTGTGTGGTCGCTGTTAATTTTTGTTGATCGTCGCTAAAAATTGGATTAAATCCCTTACAAAGTTTTGTAATTTTTTTTTTTACTTGGTTGTTCATGTGATCTAATCTGAATTGCTTTATTACGTTGCTATTTAAATTGTCGTCAGCTGGGACTTTGTCCGAGTATATGTATTTGTCAAGTATATCTACATCCATAGGCTCATTGATGTGAATATTATTAAGACATTGCACATCAGCGAAACCGTTATCTACATTATAGATACCTGGTACAATTTATTACACTTAAACCATTATGCGTATATTTGCCAGCATCGGACTTGCACGATCAAAGCCTAGTTAACAAGTAGTCAGGTGATACATCTTTCGAATTATGAAATAATACAGTATGAATACATATGTAAGGTGACTACGTGACGATATATAATATGGGTAATCGCGATGTTTATAATAAAGCAATAAATGAATCAGTTCTTTGTAATGGTCCTGGCCTTCAAGTGGTTGGGAGAATATGTACAAATCGCCTTATCTCGTTCGCCGGATGCTGGACGCCTTACATTCGGCCATCCTGTAGATGAGGCACTTGTCCCTAGGTGGCTTAGGTGAAACTATGTCTCAGCTAGACCCTTCCCTGCATCTATGAATGAAGAATGATGATATTAACGTTATTGAACCAGTCTTTTGTGAAATTAGTGCCAGAAAGCAGCATGACCACGATTCAGACCATCGTCCGACCCATGGTGAGGGTGGTGAAGAACGACCATCGTCATTCTTTGCCTTCTCTCTTTATCATAATAATATTGACCCTTTGTCAATTAATAGTGTTACGAATGATTTTCATTAATTCGAAACGTTCATTTCGTCGCTGACCATTGTCAGTCCCTAGTCATTTTAAATGATTGCTCTGCGACCAACCATTGCCAGTCTGTGGAGAAATGACCCTCGTTATTTGCGAGCAAGTGACTAGTCTGACCCTTGTTAGAACAAGGAAAATGACCCATTGTCATTTCCAAATTTTGAACTGTTAGGTTGGCCCTCGCCAATCTACAATAAAAGACCCTCGTCATTTCCAACCTATGACCCTTGTCATTTCATACTCGAATCTTGGATCATCATTGTCTTGATGTCCAAGATAATTATCGGACAGTGCCGATGGATTGCTTACCTCTTAGTACTATCCACGGCTTCATTTTGTCGACGGCAACTACCGTTTTGTACTTTTTCATACCTTCTCGAAAGTCTTGTACTTCATACCGATCATTTTGTAAGACCTTCGTGACGCTAAAAGGTCCCTTAAATACAGGCATTAATTTGTGGCTGGAACCTGTCGCTGGATACGCGGTCTTCAAGATCATTACCACATCTTCAACATTATATTGTTTTCTCTTTTTTTCGTGTTTTGTTAAACCTTTCTTTTTGTTCCTGTTGGTGATTGAGTATGCGTATGCTGGTATTTTGTCTTACTTCTTGCAAGTCAATGCGTTCAAGCTGTTCCTGAACACAGTTAAGTATCTTTGCCTCGGCGACGTTTCGCCCTTTATAACCGGCCAGTAACTCTAATGTAGTTTTATTAGCTGTGCAGTTAATGGCGCCTTGGATTTTCTTTACGAATGAATCCCACTGGTCAGCCTCGCTTCCTGTTGCAGTGACAGCTAGGGTGTTGAGGACGGTGCGATTAACCCTCTCACATTGGCCATTCGCCCTTGGGGTTGCTACCGCATTCAAAATGTGTTTGATGCCGTGGCATTCGCAAAATGATTAAAATGTTTTGGATGTGAAGCCTGTGCCCCTATCAATGATGATACGCAGCGGCGCGCCTAACAAATACATAACGTTCATCAACGTTTTTGTAACACAGCGTACTTTGGTGTCTTTTAGGGCTTTTAAAATGACAAACTTAGTGAAACCATCCACTATCACCAGATGATATTTATAATGTCTTCTGCTGGTTTCGAAGGGTCCTAAATGATTTAGATGTACCGTATGAAAAGGTACTAGGGCCTTTGGTATGGGGTACATTTCCCCGTTCCTTTTTACCTGTCGGTCGCTTGTAGTACTGGCAAGCTAAACAGGCTTGAACGTATTTCTTTATGAACCGTCTCATCCGTGGACACCAATAATTTTGAGGGATACGTTGGAGGGTTTCTCAAACTCGAAGTGGCTAGAATCATCATGGCACAATCTGTAAACTTGCCAAGGACACGATTTCGGTACTACCCAAGCCATTTTCTTATCGGTTAGTTGTTTGTACAGTTTACCGTTTTTAAGGATAAAGTTATTAAAATACTGCTTGGTATTTTGTTTCTTTTATATGGTTAAAAGTATGGTTTTAATTTAATAATTTGATCGTCTTGTGCCTGTGTGGCCACAATCCAGTCAGTTTCAGTTAGGTCCACCAGGTTACGGGGTTGCGGCTGAGTGCATCAACATGGCACATCTTGTTGCCAGGGCGGTGTTTGATTTCGAAGTCATAATCTAGAACCTGTGCTACTCATGGCTTAGATCCTTTTTTGTAAACGTTGTACGTAACGCGTTACAGTCGGTAATTACTGTAAACGTTATGCCCAACAGGTAACAGCGGAAGTAGTTCAAAGAAGGGACAACAGCCAAGGTTTCGAGTTCGTATGAATGACACAACCTCTGCTCTGGTGTTGTTTGTTTACTGAAATAGCCTATCACTCGGTCGTTTTTCCCTTCCTTTTGAATAAGCATGCCAGTCCGTGCAATGTAGCTGGCGTCGGTATGCAGTTCGGTCCGTAGTTTTAAATCAAAGATTGCTTAAATGGGGCTCGACGATAGTGCTTGCTTTATCGTGTCCAAAGCATTGGTTTGCTCTTCTCCCCAGTCCCATTTGGACTCTTTCTTTAGCAAACGAGTTAAGGGCTCTACAATACCGACATAGTTTTGAATGAATTTACGAAAATACCCGGACAGTCCCAGAAACTGCCGGATTTGTTTGATGTTTTCTGGTCGAGGAAATTTTAGAACAGCTTCTACTTTTCTTGTGGTGGGGCGAACACCTTCGCTGCTGATTTCTCTACCCAAAACTTCAACTTGGGATTTAGAGAACGTGCATTTACTAAGTTTCAACGTAAGTCCATTTGTTCTGACAGCCTCCAAAACCTGTCGTAGCCTGTCTAGACCTTCGTCGAAATTGAGGACAGGAATGATTATGTCATCCATATATGGAAAGTAGGTCTTAAACAAAACGAAAGTAAGAAACCCTGGATAACAAATGAGATTGTAGGATTAATAGACGAAAGGCGGAAATACAAAAAACAGGACAGACGAAGAAGGGCAAAAAAGATATAAAGCTATAAAGTGGGAAATAATTAGGAAGTGTAGGGCAGCTAAGGAACAGTGGATTGATAGGATGTGTAAAGAAGTAGAAGAAAAGTTTGAAGTAGGTAAAACCGATGAGGCTTATAATATAATTAAAAGGAATTTTAGAGATGTAGGATACAGTAGTAATAATATAAGAAACGAGGCAGGGGTCATGTTGATAGAAAATGAGGAAAAGGCAGATAGGTGGAAAGAATATTTAGAGAACCTTTACGCAGGCCCTGAGTTAGGAGATATATTAGAGAAGGAAGATAGTGTGGAAATAGATGAGCTTGGTTATCCCATAATGAGAGAAGAGTTCGATGTAGCATTAAAAAATTTAAAGAATAATAAGGCGCCAGGTGTAGATGGAATACAGGGGGAAATTCTAAAACATGCAGGACAAGAGGTTAGAGATCGTATGTTTAAGCTGGTTAGTCATATTTACGAGACGGGGAAAGTCTCAGAGGATTATAAACGTAACCTGGTAGTAACATTACGTAAAAAGAGGGGCGCAGATAGGTGCAAGATATTTAGAACAATTAGCTTCTCATGCGTCAAAAATCTTAACTAGAATTGTACAGAGGAGGATGGAAAAATGGGCGGAAGAACTATTAGCGGAAGATCAATTTGGGTTTAGAAGAAATAGAGGAATGAGAGAGGCCATTCTAGCTTTACGGGTAACAATAGAGAAAACGATAGAAAAAAGAAAGAGTGCGTACATAGAATTTGTATAGGATGAGTTACAAAGATAAAAGAGTGATACTTAGTTTGTATAAAGAGCAACAGGCACTTATAGAACTAGGGCTGCAACGTAGAGAAGTAAAAATTAGGAAGGGAGTCAGACAGAGATGCACACTGTCATCGCTACTTTTTAATCTATACATCGAAGACGCGATCAACATCATTAAAGACAGTACAACTGTAGGGATAGATATACAGGGGCAAAAGATTAGTATGCTTAGATTTGCAGATGATATAGCAGTATTAGCATCTAGCAAGGAGGACTTAGAGATAGCTTTAAATAAAATGGAAGCGGTACTGACAGATCAGTACTGTATGAAAATAAATAAAAGTAAAACTAAAATACTGGTATGCAAGGGAAGAAAAAGTAGGGAAAGAGCGAATATAAAGATAGGAGACGAAAAATTAGAAGAAGTGGCTGATTTTAGATACCTAGGAAGTCAGATAAGTCAGGATGGAAGGAGTAGTAGGGATATAAAGCAGAGGATAGCGCAGGGTCGTGTCGCCTTTAATAAAAAGAAGTCACTTCTATGCTCGCGAACGGTTAATTTAGAAATTCGAAAAAGGTTGTTAAAGGTGTATGTTTGGAGCACGGCGTTGTACGGGTGCGAAACATGGACAGTGGGAGCGGCGGAAAAGAAAAGGTTAGAAGCGTTCGAAATGTGGTGTTATAGGCGGATGATGAGGATATCGTGGGTAGAAAAGGTTAGAAATGAAGAGGTATTGGAAAGAATAGGAGAACAGAGGACTCTATGGAAGTCAATAAAAAATAGGCGAGATAGGTTGGTAGGACACCTTCTCAGGCATGAAGGTCTAGTCAGAGACATATTAGAGGCAGAAACAGGAGTTAGGAGGGGTAGAGGTAGACCTAGATTAGATTACTCTTCGCAAATAGTTAAGGATGTGGGTTATTCTAGTTTTAGGGAAATTCGAAGTTTAGCTCAGGATAGGAAAGAGTGGAGGTACGTGTCCAACCAGTCTTAGGACTGATGACCTTATGATGATGATGATGATATGGAAAGGCGATGGAGTTTTTCGATTCTCCCAGTACATTGTTTATTAGGCACTGGTAGAGTGAGCGTCAGGTGTGACGAACGCCGTCTTTTCAATAGAGTCTTGGGCCATGGGTACCTGATAATACCCCGATGCCATTTCAAGCCCTATATAGTACTTATAACCTCCTAGGCGATCTATTTGATCCTCGATTAACGGTAGTGGGTATCTGTTTTTGATTGTGATCGCATTAAGTTTGCGTTAATCGACGCACATCCTGTAATCTCCTGTCTTTTTCTTAACGAGAAGAACTGGGCTGGCATATGGTGATTGCGAATGGCGCACAATTTCGTTTTCTAATAGATCTTGTATGATTTCTTTCAATATGTTCTTCTCTGAGTAAGACATCCCGTAGGGATGGTAGACAACTGGCTCGTCTGTCTTTAATCTAATCTGCATTTCGATCGCGGATGTTTTTCCTAAGTCTTTCATTGACGGCGAAATACAATCTTGATAGTCAACTTGTAATTTGAATACCTTTTGTTTTTCCGTTTCCGTTATTTCGCCGACGATAACGTTTTGGTACTCTAATTTTCCTTCAGACTCGTACTCAATAAAGTTAACCGATTGTGGGGTCAATTCGGAAAAACAATATAACCGAACTTGGTCCTTGACTTTTTGTAGCATTATATGTGATTGATCTAAATAGTCTGTTCCTACAAGTAAGGCGTGATTTAGATGTGAGTCATCCACAATAATGGCCGTAACTATAGCACTTACTCCATCTATTACTATTTTTATTCAAGTTGATCGGTTTACCGTTAATATTTTTCCCATGAAACATTTCAACTGGGTTCGTGGTCCTTCCACTACCTTTACCTTAAGCTCGCGTAGCACTGTTAATTTTATTAACGTGCAGACACTGCCGGTATCAACTAAACATTTTATTTTATGTCCGTTTATACGTGCCGTTTTTAAGAATAAATTTTGGTTTTCATTATTACTATTATGTACCTCAAGAGTGCTAGGAACGGAAGCCGTTGAGACTGAATTGATCTTTGGTTTCGGGCAGTGTTCCTGAGTGTGGCCCAGTTTATTACACGTGGTACAGCGTTTAATGGGTTTTGGACAGTCATTAACACGATGATTGTCGCCGCAATTAAAACACGCGATTCTTGTATTATTCGAGGACGATTTCTTTTTGAAAAGACTTTGGGACTCATTTGACGTTAAGGGTCCCTTGGAAAAGTATCTGGGTGAAAACCCCCTTTGTCCACCACTAGTACTCGGTTTCGCCTACTATTTTGCAAGTTGCGATCGTTTCTTCGAGTATTTCTGAATTTAGTGTGTTTAATTATGTTATGTTTAATTAGCCTGTTTAATTTTGACACTTTCTGGAAACAGAATTTAATTGCTGTAGGGAATGACGATAACAGCGCGGTCTTGAGTTCTGTCCATGTAACAGAGGTACTGCGCAAAGAATCATACCACTTTCTGGCATTACCGCGAAATCGACTTGTAGCAAGTTTTGTTGTTGTAATTTCATCCCATTTCTGAAAACGTTTTAATTCTTCTACTTTATTCAACCAGTCATTTGCACTTAAAGAACCGACACTTGTGTCAAAAATAAGAATGACGGTTTCATTAACTGAAATTGTAAGTGTCGGCGCATTAATTACACATGCTCGTTTTCTTCGTTGAACAGATTTCGAAGAAGACAAAGATGAGGACGATATCGAACTTCTCCGGCTTCTCCTCCTACTCTTCTCCTTCCTTTTTTTTTATTTTCTTGTTTGCCAGATGAGCGTGACGACCTCGGAGATTGCTCAGGCGGGGAGCGTTCCGGGGTGAAAGTATCTTTGGATGTGGAAGGTCTAGCAGCATCACTTGCAGGAACGGATTGTCCTTGCACCGGCGACCGAACAATATCTTTGTCACTGGGTACACTCACTTTGTTTGTTTTTGCACGACACTCGTACTTTGGTTTTGCACAAAAATAGGTTTCCCTTAATCACTAATGTTTATAACGTGTGGGAAAATTGGGGAGAATCCCACTCCTGATAATTGTGAGGGTAATTAATAAAAATGCCACTTAAACCGTTATGCGTATATTTGCCAGCATCCGACTTTCACGATCAAAGCCTAGTTAACAAGTAGTCAGGTGATACATCTTTCGAACTATGAAATAATACGGTATGAGTACATATGTAAGGTGGCTACGTGACGATATATAATATGGGTAATCGCGATGTTTATAATAAAGCAATAAATGAATCAGTTCTTTGTAATGGCCCTGTATCGTATGACTCTTTCATGTGATAGTAATAGAAGGTAGAGTTTTTGCAATATGTAATAGTACTGCTTTTAAGCTCAAGGTTGAGCTGTCTATAAACAATCTCCATTCCTCTGGCATGTGTTTTA